GTTGCTGTAGGTGATCTGGAAGTCTGTTTTTGAGACTTGTTTATGTGTCTTCTCGTTTCCATGGGGGGTGGTGCTGCTGGTCCCTGCTCAGCTCACCTCCTCTGCCCTAGGAGTGGTGGAATTGTGGTGGGGAACCTCCTCATGTTTGCTGGGATTGGCTTACCTCCTCTTCCCTAGGAGTAGTGGAATGGTGGCGGGGAGCCTCCTCCTGGGCGCTGGAATTGGCTCACCTCCTGTGCCCTAGGAGCAGTCTGCCTGAGTTATCCTTATCTCAGCCCCAGACTGCACCTGGGAATTAACACCATGGAGAGGAGACAAGAGTGAAGGCAATGCCCCCTGAGAGTCTCTCATCCCCTCTTCAGCCCTGAGACAGAATTTCCTTTCCTGTAGCAGTGGCTACCAAGAAGAGGATTCTGCAGGTAGAGTCCATTGTGGAAGTTGTGCTCTGGGGGATTCTGCAAAGGATGATATTGGTTGTGGGTGCTCTGGGTCATAGCCATATCAATATTTACCTCAGTAGGCTCAGGTTTTTGCATATTCATCAGGCATGGACCTTCTTAGCTCCATTGTCTTCCATACTAAGGAAACAGATTAAAAAAACAAATTGGGGAATAAAAACTAAGGATAAATATACTATTTTAAAAGATAATTAGATGAGTTCTGAATGTGATGTATGCAGTTATATATAGGAGAGAAGGTAAGATTTAAATTTACTAAATTTTATCCATCACTGACACTAGATATCTCTGTCTTGCCTCTATTCTAAATACCAAAATTGGAGGTGAAAAGAGAATATCACTGAGGTATGACATGTTGACTGTGTGCCCTCAGGACCTGGTCCTGGTGACCACATAAGAGTCATTTTTGCCTTCAGAAATGACATTTGAACATGTGTGGAGATGAGAATATATGTATCTTACTATCTGTTATGGCTTGTGTTTAGATGTCCCCCCAAAACTTCATCTGGATGAGGTGGGGTTTTCTTCAGATGTGGCTGAATCTGGAATGTGTGATACTGGGATTAAAGGGAAGTGATTACTAAACCACTTCTTGTGTGTGAGTGATTGGTTTGGCACCACCCTCATCTGGTAGTCTGGGTGAGATAAAAGGGCCAGAAAAATGCTGTTACAGTCACTTGTGTTTGCTGCTTCCACAGCCATGAACTTTTGCCCCAGTGCCACTCTGCCTTGGAGCCAGCCAATTATGGACTGAAACCTATATGAACTGTAGGCCAAATAAACCTTTCCCCCTTTAACTTTGGGTGTCAAGTATTTTGTCTCAGCAACAAGAGAAAAGTACCGAACACACTACTGAATGAAATTTTAAATTCAGGGACATGAACATATAGAGTCATGAATGCAGAGTCTCCTGGGGAATATGTCACACAGACAGGAAGCTTCAGATCCTGACAGGAAATCAGATTGGTCCACCCTCTGAACGTGTCTGGACTGATACTGAACTCAGTGTGTCCTGTGTGCCCCCTGCTGGTCCTGAGCAATACAGCAGGGAGGTTTGTGTCTGGGCTCACACTGATGTCACCTCACTGTGTCTCTTGTACAGTAGTACATGGCTGTGTCCTCAACTTTCAGGCTGTTCATTTGCAGCTCCAGTGTGCTTTTGGAGTCATCCCTGGAGATGGTGAATCTGCCTTTCACAGATGTAGCATACTCTGTTGTATAACTATTACCCTTGTTTCTAATAAGACCAACCCACTCAAGACCTTTTCCTGGAGCCTGGCGGACCCAGCTCATGTAGTAATTACTGAAGGTGAAGCCAGAGGCTGCACAGGAGAGTTTCAGGGCCCCCCCAGGCTGCACCAATCCTCCTCCAGACTCCACCAGCTGCACCTCACACTGCACACCTGCAAACAGAGAAACATCCTGCTCAGAAAAATGTCACACATGTCCACTGTTTATCCCACTCCTGTCCACACACACACTTAGTATCTCTTATTCTTCATTAATTACCTTTTAAAAGAGCAACAAGGAAAACCCAGCCCAGTGCAAGCTCCATGGTGAGCTGTCTATATTCAGTACTGATTGTTGAGTCAGAACACCTGGCATTCAGAGCTGGGCTCCTCTCCAGAGAGGACTGGGCTGCTTATATCAGCAGAGAGAGGCCCTATTTGCATGTCCTCCTGCTATATAGAGAGCTCTGTGGGTTAGAAGCAGTAAAATTTCAATACCAGATTAGATGTGAGCTTGCAGGACAAATCTGGTGAAAATAATAACATTTAAGGAAAATGAGAATTTTATGTAACTATGTTATGATATTCACTTATAATTCATAATCTTAGCTTATTTTTACACATTCAAACAACATATGATTCAGGTGTCAGTGCATACTCCATTGTGCAAATGTAGAATTCCTCACAGAAGCACAAGTGAGTGATTCAGTGTGATTAAGGGTTCATACATGGTCTAAATGCAGTGGACCCAGATCCTCCCTCACAATCTCCAGGACAGAGTTAGACATCCATAGTGAGATTCACAAAGCCTCTTACCTGCATTAAAAATGTGCTCCAATTTTTCTTCACTCCAGTGTTACCTGTGCTTCAGGGATGCATCAACCTGTGTACATCACTGTACATCAATGTAGAAGGTTGTAGGTCACCTGTAAGGCAGTCTTGATTCAGCTCAGGTGAAGTAGGTTTGCACAGAGATGTCAAATACAAATGCTGCTACAATTTGTCTGTGTCCAAAGTACATAAATTTGGTGAGGAGAAATATAATATAGTGTCTTTAAATAATCTCTACATCTGTCAAACTATCTATCATATATTTATCTACCTACCTATATACATCATTTTTTTCATTTATAAAAACTATAACCAGAACTATCTAATTTATGCTGTGCCCATTCAAACACACTTTTACTTCTCCAGTAGCTTCTGCTTGGACTATCAAGATGTACGTAATCTAATATTTATCACAATTCAGAACAAGATCCCTAGTGTGTATGACTTCATCAAATGTTTCCCTTCATTGAAACTTCTTTACTGCATTACGTACTCAAGGACTGTAATATAGTTGGACTTATTTATGTAGAACTATGACATTATCTGTTAGAAATCTGTTAGAAAAAAAGCTGTTAGAGAAAAGAGACTAATCACCTATAAAGGAAAGCTCATCCAAATCACAGCAGACTTCTCAACACAAAACCTTAATTCCAGGAAAGCATGGAGTGAAGTATTTCAAGTCCTGAAAGAAAATAATTTCCAACTCAGTTTGACATACCTGGCAAAACTATCTTTCTGAATCAGTTGACAAATAGACACTTCCATGACAAAGAACAGGTGAAGAAATTCATGACCACCAAACCTGCTCTACAAAGTGTTCTGAAAGATATTCTAGCAAGATATAACAAAAACCACAATTCCCTTCAATCCCCAGTACAAAAAGAAAACATAATTCCAAAAACACCAATAGAAAGAAGCCACCAGGCAAAGCAAAGAATTAAACAAAGGAAAAAGACAGGGAACCAACACAGAAAAATAATACGACAAGGATGAGCCAATACTTATCAGTTATAACCATCAATGTAAATGGTCTCAATTCATAAGAAATACACCTACAAAATGGATCAAGATCCAACAATTTGTTGCATACAAAAAACACATTTAACTCAAAAGAAATTCATAGACTGAAAGTCAAAGAATGGAAAACAATACTTCATGTGACAGAAACCCAGAAAAAAGCAGGGGTAGCTATTCTATTTGCAAACAAAGTCAACGTCAAGCAAACACTGATCAAAAAAGACAAAGAATATATATTTTTAAAAAGACAAAGAAGATCACTACACACTTGTTAAGGGAAAACTCCAAGAAAAAGAGATAACAATCATAAATATATATATGCCCCAAATACAGGTACACCCAACTTTATAAAACAAATGTTGATGAACATGAAAAATCAAATAAGCACTAATATAATTGTAATGGGGGACCTCAATACCCCAATGTCACATATAGACATATCAACTAGACAAAAAGCCAAAAAAGAAATATCATAACTGAACCAAACCTGTGAACAGATGGAATTAGTAGACATCTACAGAATGTTCCACACCACAACAGCACAATACAGATTCTTCTCAGCTGTGCATGGGATGTTCTCCAAAATAAACCATGGAAGAGCTCACAGAACATGCTTAAGCAAATGAAAAAGAGTTCAAATTTTCTTATGAATATTATCAAAGCATAGGGCAATGAAATTGGAAATCAATGGCAATAAAAATCACAAAAAAATCATAAACACATGGAAATTAAATAACATCCTCCTGAATAACCAATGGGTTACAGATGAAATTTAAAAAGAAATTAGACAGTTTCTACAATTAAATGCTAATACCAATACAATGTATGGAACTTAAAGGATGCTATGAAAGCAATCATTGGGGGAAATTTATACAGGTGAACACATATCAGGAAAACTGAGCGAGCTCAAATAAACAACCTAATGTTGAACTTCAAACTTTTAGAGAAAAAAAAAAGAATAAACCAAGCCCAAAGTTCATATGAGGGAAGAAATTGTAAAAATTACAGCAGAAATTAATGCAATCAAGACTAAGTAAACAATGCAAAGAATCAATGAATTGAAGAATTAGTTATTTGAAAGATTAAATAAAACTGATAAACCTTAGCCAACCTCATTTAAAAAAGAAAAGACTCAAATCCATGCAATTAGAAAGGAAATGAGTGAAATCACAACAGATTCTGTGAAAATGCAGAAGATCATGAATACTTATTTTGAGAACCTTTATTCAAATAAAGTGGAAAATACAGAAGAAATATACAGATTCCTAGACATTTGAATTACCAAAGCTCAATCAGGAAGATATAAAAATTCTAAATAAGCCAATAGCAGTCAATAAAATTGAACAGATAAAAATCTACCAAAAAGGAGAAGCCCAGGTCCTGATGGATTCACAGCTGAATTCTACAAGAACGTAAGAAAATGTAATGCCAGTTCTCCTCAAACTCTTTAATGAAATTCAAAGGGAAGCAATAATCCCAAAATCATCCTGGAAGCAAATATTTCCCTGATATCAGAACCAGAGAAGGACCCAACCAAAAAAGAGAATTACAGGCCTATCTTCTTAATGAACATAGGGGCAAAAATCCTTAACAATATACTGACAAACAGAATACAGCAAATCATCAGGAAGATTATACACCATGAGCAATTATGATTTACCCCAGGGAAATTCAAGGCCAGTTCAACACATGCAAATCCATAAATTCAAAACACCATATCAACAGGGCCAAGGACAAAAATCACATGGTCATTTCAACAGAAGCAGAAAAACCATTTGACAAAGTCCAAAACCCATTCAAGATTTTTTTAAAAACCCTACAGAATATTGGAATAGATGGTGATTATTTCAATGTGATAAAAGCCATCAATGACAAAGCAACAGCCAACATCATATTAAATGGCTAAAAACTGAAAGCTTCGTTCTAAAATCAGGAACATGACAAGGATTTCCATTATCATCACATCTATTCCATATAGTTCTGGAAACATCAGCCAAAGCAATTAGACAAAAGAAAAAAAATAGAAGGAATAAAGAAAGGAAAATAAGAAGTTCAATTTATGGGAGAGGTGAAGGGCTTGAATGAAGGGAGGGCAGGGGAATGGGGAAAAATAAGAACCAAGATATATCAGGTAAAGGTACAAATTCTCAATTATGAATGTCATTATATTGTATACCTAAAGTGTACCAATAAACTTGAAGATAAAAAACTTTTAAGAAAAAAAGTTCAATTTTCATTATTTCCAGATGACATGATACTCTACATAGAAGACCCCAAATTTAATAACCAAATACATTCACATAGCTGGTTACAAAGTCAATACTCAAAGATCAATAGGATTCCTGTACACAAATCACAAACTTACTAAGAGAGACATTAAGGAAATTATGCCTTTCACAATAGCATTGAAAAAAAGGGAAATACTTAGAAATGAATCTAACAAAAAAAGTAAAAGACCTTTACATTGAAAATTACAGAACTCTGAAAAAGGAGATTGAAGAGAATATCAGAAAATGGAAAGATATCTCTTGCACTTGGGTAGGAAGAACCAACATAGTGAAAATGGCCAATCTCCCAAAATTTCTACAAGGATTTAATGCAATCCCAGTCAATATACCAATAGTATACCTCACAGAACTTGAGAAAATATTATTAAAATTCATTTGGAACCAGAAAAGTCCTAGAATAGCAAAAACAATTCAGAGCAACAAAGACAAGAAAAGGAGCCCATGATCCCTGACTTAAAGTGTACTACACAGCTACTGTGATAAAAACAGCAGGGTGGCAAGAAGCCCTCATAGACCAGAGCAGTATGGCTGCACAGGGCCCAGCCAGGGCCCTGCCCAAACATCAGCAGCTTGGGACCACAAGCCCCAGTGAAGGCCTGCCTGGAAAACAGCTGCACAGGCACACAGGCAGCAGCCAGAGTCATGCCCAGATACCATCAGTAAGTGAACACAGATGCCAGCCAGAAACCTGCTCAGACACCAGTGACTCGGGTGCACAGCCCCCCACCCAAAGGCCCTCCCAGACAACAACTACAAAGGTGAGCAGGTCCCAGCCAGAACCCCACCTGAACAAGAGTGCAGCACAGGGATCCAGAAAACCACCATTCTGAACCCAGAGATTAGTGCAGTGGTAAGCAGCAGAGAGAAGGCCTCTCTCAGGCTTACTGAGAATTGAATCCCACTAGGTGAGCAAAGAGTCACCTCAACAAAGGCTCAGCAGGCTGCCTCTGTTGAAATGAGAAGACACATAAAAAAGTCTCAAAGCAAGACACCAGACCACCTAAGGCACACCCAAAGGGCAATAAGATGGAACAATATGATACTCAACCACTTAGACTCCCTGAACTGGCAACAAAAGAGGATCTGGAAAAAAATCAAATCACAAATAATTTCTCAGATAACAACAGAGATTGTGTTCATAGTGAAAGACATTACTAATAACTCTAGAGCAGACACACATTAAAAAAATAGAGGAACTTGGAAACATGAGAGAATCCCAACATAGGGACGAATGAAATCC